TTGTCCACCAAGTCAACCAGGACTTCACGGCCAAGGACGTCTCCATGATAGCCTACCTCCAACATACCTGCTATCTGCTTACAACTTTCAATGCTCATCTCATAAGCCAGGTGCCACGCTCTGAGAACAGCGATGCTGATGCATTAGCAAGGCTAGCCTCGGCGATGGAGCAGGGCATAGGTCGCAACATCCACATCGAGTTCTTGGACCAGCCCAGCACACGGGCACCACTCATTTGTGTCATCGATCAAAGCCCTACATGGATGGACCCTATCACCCAGTTCTTGCAGAACCAGACCCTACCTACTGACCCTGCTGAAGCGCGGCGTGTTCGCTACCGTTCCGCTTGATACTTGATCATCAATGGTGCCCTATACAAGCGCGGCTTCAGCCTCCCCTACCTTCGGTGCCTGACCCCAGAGGAAGGTACCTATGTCCTGAGGGAGATTTATGAGGGTATCTGTGGCAACCACTTAGGCGCTCGCTCCCTAGCACACAAGATCATTCGGCAGGGATACTTTTGGCCATCACTTCACACTGATGCCCAGACCTTCACCCAGAAGTGCGATAAGTGTCAGCGATTTGCCAACATCCCACAACTTCCAGCTGAGCCATTGACAGCCATGGTCAGTCCTTGGCCATTCGCCCAATAGGGACTTGACCTCATCGGACCTATGCCTGAGGGCAAGGGCCAAGTCAAGTATGCAGTTGTAGCTGTAGACTACTTCACCAAGTGGGCTGAAGCTGAGGCCTTAGCAACCATCACCGCAGCCCGTATAGAAACTTTTGTTTGGCAAAACATCATATGTCGCTTTGGCATCCCCAACACCATCGTCACGGACAATGGCCGGCAATTTGACAATGCAAAGTTCAAGCAATTTTGTTCCAACCTCAAGATAAAGCTTTGCTTCGCCTCCCCAGCCCATCCTCAATCTAATGGCTAGGTGGAAGCTGTGAACAAGATCATCAAGAAAACTCTAAAAACTAAGCTTGACAAAGCTAAGGGTTGCTGGCCAGAGCTACTCCCAGAGGTTCTCTGGTCCTATCGCACCACCTTCGGACCTCAACAGGAGAAACACCTTTCTTTCTCTCCTTTCGTACCGAGGCAGTGGCACCAGTGGAGATTGGCCAGCCCACATACCGCACCTCCACTTATGAGGCCGAAGCCAATGACGAGCAGCTAGCCCTGAACCTCGACTTCATTGACGAGCTTCGTGACCAATCCAACATGCGCAATGTCGCGTACAAACAG